CGAATGGTCTAAGTCTGAGGCCACAGGACTATAATGAGAACGAAGGAATAAGATTCTCTATAGTGTTGTATATATATGTACCCATATGCGAATAAGGTTAGTCAGGCATTATTTCTAAGACGAATGGCCTGACTATAGCCTTATCACAATCAAAGAAAGTATAATCAAGAGTTATAACTGAAGGTAACATGGGCAGGTTGAGCATTGTTTCTAAGACGAATGACTCAGCCCTACGCCCACTTTTTGAAGACTAAGGCGCAGAGAGATATATTTAACTTGGCTACTTAAACAGTTCAGGGCGACTAGGCATGGTTTCTCAGATGAATGGCTTAGTCATATGCCCAATGAAGAGAAAAGTAGTTGTGCAACCTGTTCGTGTATAGCTAAGGCAGAGGGCTGGCATTGTTTCTAAGACGAATGACCAATCTCAATGCCCTATGTAAGTAGGGTATAAAGGGTTAAATCATTGAAAAACTATGAACTATTCGTTGCCAAATTTAGCTTGGAATGGTGAGAGTGCTTACCTTTGTGGTCTGGCCTGCATGTGACTGAGTGAGGCTACTACTTGGTCTGAGTTTCAGTTTGATAGGTAGTTGCTTTAGAGGTTCGCCATGTGCTAGAGCGATAGGAGTTAGTTTCAATTCCTGCATTTTCTGACCTAAGTTTTTTTACTCAGATCAATTCTCGCATTTTCTGGGATCTTTTGTCATACTTGGCTTTGTATGAATTTTGGCAAGTTACTTTCTCTACGGGAAGCGCTGCCGAAATTTCTGCAAATCCAAGGAGTTAGTTTATTTTTGACTTTTCAAAGTTCAACTTGTCTAAAGTTCATATATGGCTTAGTAAAAATATGAAAAGTCTCATTTTTCTAAAGGGAGTGCTGCCTAAATTTTTGCTAACTCAGGGAGTTAGACAGAATTGGACTTTGGAAACTCAAAGACTATTTCTGTTTTCATATTTGGGCTGATATAAAATCTGAAAAGACACTTTTTCTACGGGAAGCGCTGCCGAAATTTTCTTGATTTAGAGGAGTTAGATTGTATTTTGACAGGTGACGATTCTGGCAATCCACCCTGTATAAGGAAGATTTTGCAGTTGGTCTACCTTTGCTTAGAACTGGCTTAAAGGTAGACTTAGGCTTAGCTTATAGGGAGATTTTGAGTGAGAATGTGTTATGGAGTTGTATTCTCCATACACTTATGATTTCAGCTTGGGGATTGACCTGCCTTGTATTACAGGTCTTCTTGATCGATCAATTCAGGATTTGAGCTAGGTTCAACTTGGTCCTTAGGGATCGTCTTATGTTATCAATGATAACAGGTCGGTTGTCGATTCGTCGGTTTGCGATTCAACTCCAATCCAGTCTTGTCACTTAACCTAAAGGCTTTAGCCCTATGGTTTAAATTGTTTCATTTTGTTTTCACCCGGACTTTATTGAATGGACATTTAACACAAAAGTACTGAGTACTTATTTTAGAGAGTTGCACGGGTGAGGCTTATATGGCTAAAGTAAGGGGTATGAGTGCAAAAAATGGTTGAAGTTGACCCCGTGTAGTGCGTGGACTTCTGGATAAATCTTTGATGTGATTGCAGGTGGGTTTGTGATTCGGACTGTGGATGTGATTGCCTGCGATTACAGACATATATGGTTGGAGGGAGCCCCACAGTGACTCTGAGAAGTGATCGTCCTATGAAATTGACCCTTATATATTTATAAGTGCCCTGAGTGTTTGAGAGGCCACTGTGATTGTGCATAAGGGTTAACCAGTTTGTGTCCTGAGAGAAAAGGGAAATCCCTTTTTATCCTTTGCTTTTTAGAGATTTTATGGTCGAACGTTGGTCCTGGGTCGGGATTTAAGGTCCTTGTCCAGGACATCCCAAGCCCTAGACTCTGCAGGGAAGGAATCTGCCCCCGTGCAGAGCCTATTTTCCTTGCCTACCGAGACGCTCAGACCAAAGGCCGGAGGTCCCGCGGCGGCTGCACGACTATTCCTTCAGCCGTGCAATGTCGTGAAGGATTAGACCCTCACGACACTTCGAGTCTGACACTTGAGTGCCATAAGCGGTACTCGGATCCACGAGGGACCGCTTGATTATGGGCACCACATAGTACGCCATCATTGCGACTGCTTGCACACGCTTGCATCGCGAGTCAATATGAGTTGGCCCTGCGTCCGCGCGGTTTCATATTAAGTCTCGCGCGAGACGCCTATCCGATTTCCGCATCGGAGAGTTACGGGATGGCTACCGAGGGGCTATGAGCGTTGTCGCGTTGTCTATGTTGTGTTGTTTCGTGTGTGTGTGTGTGCGTGTGTTTTACTTTTCTGTGTTCATAAAGTGGTATGCGAGTGGTGTGTGGGATGCGTCCTAGTCAATCGACGTCGAGCTACGCTTGCCACTTGGGACTTCAGCCCCCCAAGATGTCGGTTCGCGTGCGGGTCCGATAGGCGTATTACCGCGCGTGCCCCCTATGCTACAGCGAACGAGAAACGCCCTCGGCTGGTCCACCTCTGCGATTGCAACTGAGTAGCTTTCGTATTGTGGACTGGTAGCTCGGCGGGGATACGCCCACCGAAGAGAGGTGAAAGCTCCAGGTGGAGGTAAGTTGTGCCTCGCGTAGGCCCTATCCTGTCATAGGGGCTCGCGAGAGGTATGGCTGGCGCACTCAGCCAGAGCGGCCTAAGGAAGCTCCATTTGTGTGTTCGCGACGAGGTTGGTCCAACTCCTGCGTGACGCGGCCGAGAGGGTCCCGCGCTGCCATGTGCGGTGCCGGACCGATGCGCTCGACAGCGTGCCGAACTGTTTCGTCGAACTTTCACCGACTCACAAGGAGGTTGAACCCTAACAGTCTGCTGTCTCCTAGAGCTGAGGTGAGCGGAGGCAGAGGAGAAGTGGCGGAGGTGAACAGGAGGAGGCGGAGGTGGAGGAGAAGTGGCAGAGGCGGAGAGGAAAGAGAGAGAGGAGATGGCGGGAGGAGGCGGACGGGAGGCGGACAGAAGCCAAGGGGAGATAGGGGATCGCAATGGCGGGACGGAGGTGGGCGGAGATGGACAGGAGGTCGGCGCTGGCCACGGGGAGGTGGACCCACACCGTTTTGTTTTTGTTTGAAAAAAAAAATTGTGCAGAAGTTACCTTGTCATCGTAAATCATGTCGCTTATCTTTCGTCTTCCTCAGCATCTCTAACGCCGTCTTCATCAGAAAAAGTGGTCATGGTGGGGTGCTCTTCTTTCTCTCTCTCTCTCTCTCTCTCTCTCTCTCTCTCTCTCTCTCTCTCTCTCTCTCTCTCTCTCTCTCTCTCTCTCTCCCTCCCTCCCTCTCTCTCTCTCTCTCTCTCTCTCGTGTGCATGTGTGTGTGTGCTTCCATTAGTGTGTATGTGTGTTGCCATGTTCGCTGTACACAACTCCACCAAAGGAAGCAGGTGCATGCCAAACTTTTTCGTCAAACTCCATCCGACTCATGAGAAGATTGAACCCCATTCGTCTGCTGTCTCCCATGGCGGAGATGAGCAGAAGCGGAGGAGAAGTGGCGGAGGAGGAGAGGAAAGCGAGAGAGGAGATGGCGGGAGGAGGCACACGGGAGGGAGGTGGGCGGAGGTCGGCGCTGACCATGGGAAGGTGGGCACGTACCGTTTTTTTTTTTTTTTTTTTTTTTTTTAATGCGGGCTGAGGGATGGCGGATGTGCAGGCAGCAGAACGGATGCCAAAGCTGAGGTGGAGGAGAAGTGGGCGGAGGCAGAGAGGAGATGGCGGGAGGAGGCGGCACAGACGGAGAGGGGATGGAGGGAGGAGGCGGATGGGAGGTGGCGGCGGCGGAGAGGTGACGGCGGGAGGAGGCGGATGAGAGGTGGTGGAGGCGGAGGAGAAGTGGCAGAGGCGGGGAGGAAAGCAAGAGAGGAGCTAGCAAGAGGAGGCGGACGGGAGGTGGCAGAGGTGGAGAGGTGATGGCGGGAGGAGATGATGGGAAGAGGCGGACGGGAGGTGGCGGAGGCGGAGGAGAAGTGACGGAGGCAGGTAGGAAAGTGAGAGAGGAGATGGCGGGAGGAGGCGGACAGGATATGTCGGCCCTGCAATGGGCCAATGGCCAGCAGGTGTCGGGGCGATTCTTTTACAACGGGGGCGACAATCTAGGCCGCCCGTGGTACTGCCGGGTCGATGGCTTAGATCGCCCAATGATCTTAAGACTTTAAGATCGCGCGATGATCCAGGGCAGACGGCCTAGATTGTCACCCGATCTTAAAGTCTCAAAGTCTTAAAGTCTTAAGATCGCGCGGGAATCCGGACCATTGGGCCGGTAGGACCGCGGGCGGCCCCGATCGCCCAATTCTCACGTTAGTGATTTCTATAAGTGTAGGGATATATATTTCAAATCATGAGGGGATGGAGGGCAAAAGGCAACTTACCCAAGACGGAAGACTAATCCAGCAAGAAGGCACCGACCCGACCCCCTCAAAGGTCCGAAAAAAACTCAGAGAGCCTTCCTCATCGGCCCCCAAAGCCAAAAACTCCTTTACCAAAAACAAACAAATATAACAACACTGGCATTCATGACATTCATCTCAAACTACACACTCGCGTCGCTGCCAAAGAGGAGGAAGAAGATGAGAGACAACTTACCTAAGACATCCCTTCCGATGGCTTACCAATGCTCACTGGTCCATACCCTCCCCAACGCAACAACGACCCGGGGATAACCCATCACATGCAGCTAAAGCAGACATCGCACAGGACCCGCTTTGGCCTAATATGCGCTGTGGAGGTGTGCAATTGGTCAGAAGCATTCGACCGTAGCACAATTCGTGAAAATTCTTTCAGAAGCGGGTGCTTTAGAATATTCTATTATTGTGGCAGTCACTGTATCAGATCCTGCTCCTCTTCAATTTCTTGCTCCTTATGCCGGTTGTGCTATGGGATAATTTTTCTGAGACAATGGAAAACGAAGGAGATCCGGCCACCCAATAGATGGCATGACATCTGGCGCCAACCCCTTTCTGGCAACCCCCCCATCTTGGATGAACTAGGCAACCCCTTCTCTCTACACACAAACTCCCCCTGTCTCACATGGGTTAGAAAAGGCCTTTACACGATAGGAGACCTGTGGGACGCACAGAGAGGGGAATGGAAGACTGCAGCCCAACTACAACAACAATTAAGGTATGCCAAGAGGTGGAGGAGAGACTGGACTTACTGCAAGAGGCCATACCACTAGCCTGACAACTTACTCTTGCCGCTTCTAGTATACAGGGTGCATGAAATTGACAACGGAGTATGCACCTTGGAAGCCTTTGAACCAACCATGCCGAGGGCAAGAATGTTGAAACTGACACGCAATGACGAATTAGACAGCGAATGAGATGATGGACGGAATCATGCACATAAGGGCAGTAGAGGCCAACAATGAAGGGCAATTCGCATTTGAATCCTCTACATCAATCGCGGAATTGCCCTTTGATCCTAATGAGTGGCAGTGGCCAGGACACAAACCGATGGGCATGTGCGATTACACTGTCAAAAAGGCATATAGAGCCCTGCGCCCAGAGCAACCAATCAACTGCACGCTAACAGAAAGATGGGCCCGGGACTCTCCCCTGGACCCAGATCTGCGGAAAGACCTACCATGGCCCGTCTATGCAAAGATCAAGCCTACAAATCTCCGGTCGTTACAGTGGCAGATCCTCCACCGGGTGTCTGCGGACACCGGACTGGCTGGTATCCAGAACTGACCTGGAACAAAAGGGCCAATTATCTCCCATGTGCTCTTACTGTGGGAGATCATCACAACCCGCCCAGGCAACACTCGAGCACTCCCTACTAGCATGCCCGATGGTTACACATCTATGGCAGTGGTGGGATGTAGCATTCCACTCCTTGACATCGGTCCATATCCCATGGGATCTGGGCCTACTCCTAATGGCCAAGAATCAACATTTACTGGCCCAATGGTCTCCGTTTGCAGTCAACCTCTTCACCTACACAAGACTGCATGTCCTCATACTGGCCTGGCGAGCGAGATGCTCGTTCGAATGGAAAGATCATCAGTTCGGCCTACAGCAGTCTCAGCAAGCGTTGGAAGAGATTATTAGGTCCACGACCCAGGAAGCTTGGAAGTCGATGACTCGATGCGAAGAGACTACAGAAGTGAAATCGAGCCTCGGTCTAAGGATTCCATCCTGCACTCCTACAGAGAAGTGTGCCAAAACCCCTGCAAATTGTTCGGTGAAGTGAACGCAAATCTGGACATTCAATGGAAACCTTGGAGGCACACAGAACAAGCTTGGCAGAGGCGGCCCCAGGATGACTTCCGAGTGCAGCACCTTCAGCCCAATTTCATACTCGTCACGGATCCGCAGAGTGAAAACCAAATTTAGCGAATAACATGAACAAGCGAAATTCCTCGACAAAGGGGTATTTTCTTCAGCATCAAATACAAAATCTGGCTATATGCTGGAACCTCCGACCGAGTGACGCAAGCACAATAATGATAATGAATGCGAGGGTGCGGACATCCAATCCCCTTCATTACCCTCACGTGCTCCCCCCCCTGCCGCCTTCCTGCCACCAGCGGTGCTGGATCCACACCAAGTAACAACCCAAGTCATGCCTCCGTACTCTGCCTTCCCCCAAACATCCTAACGCCACCACCCCTGCCCTAACCGCCCCTTACCCCTTCATACCATCAAGCCTATACCCCCGCCCCCAACCTGTGGCATCTCCGAACGCGGACCGGTTGCAGACAAAAGGAGCAGATGGTCTGAAGGTAATGAGAAAAGGAGACTGAAGGAGACAAGGACACAACAACAGCAACCGTTAATGACAAATCAAGCCCGGAACGGAGAAATGGCTCTCGGACAGAATGGGCGACAACAATCTGCAGGAACTGTTAAGCATGGCGACAAAGAATGTGAACAGCGCCCACACTGGAGGTGGCCTACCCCTCCTCAAGAATCATCCCCCCCATGCTAGCCTGATTATTTCGGTCTGTGCAGTTTCCTGAGACAAAGCCAGAGTGAAGGGAATGTGAGCACGGAAGGCGGCCGGCCTAGCCCGCTGTCTGTGAAAAGTCACACGAGTCGGACTATTGTCAAATTGCTATCTTGGGATGGGCTGTACATTCCTGAGGCCCTGAAGGGCAGTAAGAGTGAAGGGAATGGGATGATTGGGTTACAGAGATGTTATACTTTACTGATCCTTCAGGGAACAGGGCTACAGTCTTCCCCCGAATACAACGCACGGTCATTATAGCTGAATTTGGCGTATCTTTCGGTCTAAATTCATCCATAATGACCGTACGTTGTATTCGGGGGACGACCGTAGGTCGTAACAAATGGGACTGCAAGAATGGGAAGGGTAAATTACTAAATTGTGCATCCCCAAGGGACTGAGAAGCTCCGGAGGAGCAGGAATTATAACGACCAGAGCCCCTGACACTGTATGGCAACAAAGTTATTAAAGGGACGCTGGACCCAGTTTCCAGCAGGTGCCGCCCTCCACCAATAGATGGAGCAGCCCAACAAACAAGCCCTCAATCCTGGTAGCTCTCTTACCACCACCGGGATAGTGGGCTTGGAATAAGGGCTTTCTTGCCAAAAAAAAAAAAAAAAAAAAAAAAAAAAAAGACAGAAGACTCCTCCAGCAAGAACACACCGACCCCCCCAGTGTGTGTGTGTGTGTGTGTGTGTGTGTGTGTGTGTGTGTGTGTGTGTGTGAACAATGGGCGAGCGCCCACTCACCACCACCACACACACGCGTGCAGTTAAAAAAAAAAAAAAAAAAAAAAAAAAGTGTGTGTGTGAGTATGTGTGTGTGTGTGAAATGCAAGCGAGCACACACACACACACACTCAATCAGTTTTATGCCTGTTTGTCTTTCTCCTGTTGTTTGTCCTCCAAGTATTTTTCTATGCGCCCAACTGAGCACCCTTAAGTGGTGCCAAACAGTCGGTGGTTCCTCGTTTGGAGTGCCAACTGCACTCTTAGGGGGGGCGCTCGGTTCGGGATGTCTGTGTTGCCTGTCGGTGATGACGGATGTTCGTCGAAGTGATTCCCTGGCGGTGGGAACCAACAGTCTGCGGGGTTCTATCGTGATGTGAGTAGGTCATGTGCTGCTTTGCTCCGTGTTGGATGTGTGGATGCGTTTGCTGTGCGGTGTGGCCGTGTTGTTGGTGTTGCCTTGCGCTTCGCTGCTCCGCTGCCATGCTGCTCATCCGTTGGTCGTGCCTTCCGTGCTTGCTGCTTGTGTCCCCGGTAGGTTGGTTGCCGTGTTCCTGGTGCCTTGTGCTCCGCTCCACGGTTGCCCAGCTGCTGGGTCACTCGCCCTGTCGTCCCCGCAGTGCTGTTGCCTTGCTTGTGTTGCCTTGTGCTTCACTACAGAGGTGCTGCGCTGTTATGTTCCTCTTGGGGACAGTCTGCCTTCAACAAGGGTCAAAGGGTTCATGACCCAAACCATCAAATACGGGGATTCCGCAGATTGTCGAGGGTTCAGCCTCTTGATGAGTCGATGCAATTCCGACGAAACAATCTTGTTATCATCAGTTTCTTTTTTTCGGTCCTTTGTTTTTTTGGGACTTGTATTTTTTTCGTTTTGTTTGTTTCCGTCGGTACTTCTTGTTTCTCAGCTCGCTGTCTTCGCTACGTCTTATCGTGTTTTTGTGCCCGCCCGCCTCCCCCGTGCCCTCCAGCCTATGTGTTTTGTTGTTGTTGCTTGTCATCTATGTGCCTCGTACTTCTCATCAGTGTGCATTACCTCTTGTTTACTGCTCTTTGCCCCCTCGCCATGTTCTTGACTGGTTGGCTTCAACAGCAGGACATTTAGCTTCTCCTTGTTTGCTTGTTTTGGTGTTGCCATATGAAGTGGACGATTTATTTTTCTGGTATGTTCCTTGACGTGCCTTTTCCGCGCACTCGCCGCGTCGATCGACGTGGGGGTTTAGTAACAAATATTACACACACACCTCAAGTTTGAGAACGCGCATTCATTCGACGCTCATTCAAAGCGTTGAGTTTCTGAACGCAAAACCTGCGTGCAATGAACCCACGGTTTCATAGTCCCCAAATCCAAGGGAAACTCTGTCGTAGCTTAGGCAGGGTATCCCCATCTTCTTTGAAACCCCATCCCACTTCCCAGCTAGCTCATTCCAACATGCTGGTTCACCTGCTCCGAAACAGTCGTTTTTAATCAGGT